CTCAAATAACACCCCATTCGTCTTGTGAGACGTGGCTAATAGCCGGTAAAGTACGGGTACAAAACGTCGGCTGGTAGTCGTGGAAGATACGTACGTTGTACTTTGGTCGATTAACTTATGTTATTGTGTCATTGGTAATATCGATAATATTTTCTGATTTGTGATTTTCTTACTGGTAATGTTAAAAGATGCCAAGGTACACCAAATAACGGCCTTATAGCTGTTAGACTTTTCAACATTTATTATCATTTTATAAATTTTATGATAATTTTGTAGGACAAATAAAAGGTTTAAAGCAACTGTAGCTGTCACATATCATGATGAGGATGGCCATGTTGAGAGAGAGAGGTGGATTTGTCAGAATTGGTTACTGAGGATCATAGAGGAAGCTGTTCTATTAACAGTCCTGATAATTGTGGTGTATTGGAAGGCCATGAACTGGGAATGGAACAAGATAACAGTGATCTTGAAAGTGATGTTCGCCATGATTGTGAAGACTCAGCTTCTTATTACCAGAAAGTTGAAAGAAAACAAAAAGCATGGGAAAATTTGCGACATTCAGTTATAAAGAATACATTTCAGTTTGCTGGCAAAAATTGGAGCAATCGGATGTGTATTCATTGTGATAATGAAGCAAAGTTTAGGTGCAGCGATTGTGGTCCAATGGCAAAGTATTGTGAGAACTGTATGTTAAAGATGCACACAACCGTAAATATTTGTCATCATGTTGAAATATTTAAGGTAACCTTTATGAGGTAGATATTATAAAAGTCTTTACAGTTAACTCTCTCAACACTTGCAATAAAAAATGAAAAAATAAAATGAGAGTTTACATTGTGAAACATGCTACGAAGCACTAATCTAATATTTTTATGAATGCAAGAAAGGGGATTGATTACAATGAATTTCTACGAGGTTATTCATTGCTTTGTAGGATGGCATGTTTTGGCCATATAAACTCATGAACATGCTGGTGTATGATTGTTCATGCCAAACAGCTCGTCACAAAAAGAAGTGTTTCTGTTGTTGATGTTAAAGGTATGTTATATGTAAAATGTGCTGTAAAAGTTTCTTCATTTTAGCTGGGATGGTTCAACACAATTATAATTTTGGATCTTTTTCAATTTTAGGCACCTTTTGTACTGTTGAGGTACAGTTTTGCTCATGCTCTTCGAGTTTGTTCAACTTCTGCAATTTGGCCTTTGGGTGGAACACCTACAAAACCAAGAATTGCAATTGCAATTGAGTTTTTGAATTGGTTCATTCTGTGCAGATGGAATGCCAGGCATCAATAAAAGCATTTGTCAGTCATTTGAAGAGTTTAATCACAACCACATATTCTTCTTATGCAACTCCAAAAATGTATCCTGTCATTATAGATGCTTTTGAAGAATACAGGTAATTGCATGTAGGTCACTGATTTATTGCACTGCTGTACTACGTATGAATTGCTGGGAAAGTTGCAGTCAATTTTATAGCCTAAGAATCTCATCTTAAGAGATGTATTTAATTGGAGGAAATCAAAATGCTAAAGTTTATGATGAGAAAGGATTTTTCCTCAAGTATTACTGTATTGCACTGTATTTTGTTTATGTCATTTGTTTAAGAGTGCATAATTGCTTTCTTTGTGTCATTGTTTTTTTCAGAATTTACAGACATAAACTAAACATGTTGAGCTGTGTTATTCCTGAGCTTGATGAAGGAAATATCTGTCCTGCTTGTCCCAAAGTGAGTATATTCAGATACTGTTTAACAATGACAATTTAGTAAAAGAACATTAGCAATGCTATCTTAAACACCTTTTTGACTGCATCATTTGCATCATTGAACTCAAATACATTGCATGATTTTATCCTTCACCATTAAACAATAGGTTTCTATAGAAACAAATAATCATGTCACTGTTGGTTGAATAAATTAAGTATCAAGACCGTAGTGAGGTTATTCAACGAAAAGCTTACTGGCAAAACTTACCTAGCGTGAGGTTGAATCTCTCAGGAAGTTGGAAATCCAGTTCAATTGTTGCACATTGATGAGACCATCTCATAGCATCAAAAATTTTTATATTAATCTATAAATTGTGATAGCAATGAAATTATAAATTCACAATGGTATACATCTGTAAACATAGAAAGCTTCATCCCCCATCCCCAGGATTTATCTGCCGTTTTGACCAAAATTATTCAAAGCTTCCATCAGTTTCTAATGAAGCATAAAACAAACTCATTTAGTTAAACAATTAAAAATATTATCAATCATTAAACATTTTCGATATTTATGACAAGACAGCTAAAAAACATTGTAAAGACTGCATTTATGTTCGCTGTGAACAAATTTCCTCCCTTTTGGGAGGTAAACAAACCAATCTGTATGTCAAATCAACAAATGAAAACATTCTATATTTTATTTCATTCTTGAATAACTGTCTATATCTTTGATATCCATAAAGAGGAATTGCACACGATGAAACAAATGTAACTTGATTAAATAGTTCATTGGTTTCAACCATTGAGTTGTAATGTTTGAAATGTTCAAGGTTAGAAGCCATCTTGATTTCAGCAAGCGGAGACTGAAACGAGTTAATATTTTAGTTGCAATATTAACAAATACTAAATAAAATCAATTACAAGAAAACAAAACAATGATGAACCAAAATTGTTAAAGAACATATTTTAAGTAAAAACGACTCATGCAAGGTAACTCAAATGTTCAACTTATGATGGTGAAAATATAAAAAAAACATGGAGATAAAATAAAGCATGACAATCAATAAATCTTCACTTAGGTAATAATAGCTGCAGATCCAAATTTATAAACAGTGTGTGAAGCACTGACTAAAACATTTTGGCAATCAAATGCACTTGAAAGCCCTGGCAGGTTAGCTAAAGTCCCTCGGTGCTACAAGTCTTGTGACTTTTACTACAAAATCTCCCTCGGCTTTCAAGTACATTTAATCACTAAGTTACCTCACTACCGTGCATCGTTTTACTTATAAAAATATTGCACACGCTAGCTAAAATGTAGATCCCATTAACTACATACATGTATGGTCTTATATGAGCCAGTTTTAAATACTCAAAGAATATTTAGGCAATCAGAGAGTAAAATGTTTTACCTTACTCTGAACAAAACAGTTTTTCTTGTGAGTCTTTTTATCGCAGGGATACGTCGGTATAAAATTCTTATCACCAAAATGTTTCAAATTCCAAATTGGTGAAGTGTTGACTGTGTAGTAAGCTGGTCGATACAACTCATACGCAACGCATCGATTTGCTGTTTAAAATCATGATAGAACTCATGCAGATAGATTGGTTTCACATAGCCAGAATAACAACCAATAACTGTTAGCTTCCAGAGCAATTCAGTGAATTCACCACAAATGTCAGTCTGCTACGTGAAGATAGTTCTCTTGCATATGCCTCAAGTCTTTTTTTACGCTTCCGAATTGCATCCTTGAACGCCTTATTTTATACAGTTCAGCCAACATTTACCTATTCTTGCCATAAAATGATTAATGTGCTCCAAGTTGACTGAAAATAAAATTGTTCAGCATACGCCATTTTGAAAGCATGTCTATAATTATCCACTATCATCCATTGTAACCACTATCAACATCCTAATGTCATTGGTCAAAATAGTCACATTTTTATTTACTTTTGCCTTTCATTCATGTCATTTCTAGATATGAATTTTCTTATTCGTCCATAGTTCAATCAATAATAAAAAAATATTTATTGTAAATTTTATTACAGCAAATGAACGTGACGCCAAGAGTTTGTAAATTACATGCAATTTTTCGTCGTGGTATAGTGAACTATCTATCTCGACCTTATTTAAACCTGAACATTTTTACGAAGATGGTTCGAAAGTTCCCTGCAATCTCCCACCAGTTTAAAGAAGCAAAAGACAAAGTAGGATCTTTAATTCAAGATCCAGGGAATGAATTGAAGTTAAAGATGTACGCCCTTTTTAAGCAGGTATTTTACGAATCATAAAGATATTGTATCCGGTTTTACATAAAGCTTGACCATTAGTTGTTGTATCTCCTACCTACAAGCTCTTCAATTAAATGGTGACTTTACATTTTTGTGCACGATGTGCATCATTGCAGTTGAATCACATATTTGCAAAGGCACAGTCAATTTTTTTCAATTCTAACTATAGAGCTCAATGATCTCGACCTTATTTAAACCCATTGAACTCTACAACAACTGGAAGGCTAACTTGGACGCCATCTTTGAAGCCTGCACGAGCGCCGCCATTGAAGGTACGGAGGCGAAATACATCACTTCGAAATTGCCGAATTTTTTTGCAAAAAACAGTGGTCTTCAAGCCAGCTTAATGTCTAAAAATCTTAAACAATGTTTGGAGATTGTTTTTTATAATTTATTGTACGAACATTTTTACTTGCTAAAACTTACACATTACTTGAAGTCGTTTGAGAAGTTCCTTTCTCTTAAATTTATTCTTAAGTTTATCATACATTACATTACAGATGTAAATTTTTTTTTGGGTCTAAGGACATGAGAGTAGAAAACATTGAGGTGTAAAATAATCTCTAAACACGAAAGATGCCGCTACTATACTGGGGAAATGCCAGTAAATTTGATGATCAATTTTCACATGTTTTATACTTGTTGCGAGGTATGTCATTTTGTACGTTTTATGTAAATTTTCGTGAATTAAAAATACTGTGAAAAGTCCCAAATGGATTGCCAGCTGATGAAAAATCATTTTACACCTTAATGATTTCTTCCTCTAAATTGTTTTCATCAGTTACCATGTTGGGGCAAAATTCCATACAGTGAAAAGAATTTCTGCTAATTTTATGCTTTGCTGAGCTTCGACACTCTCATGTACTCTCCCAACATGGCTTATATGACGTCAAAAGAAAACACACTATAGCTACGGTTGAATGAAAACAGCCCCAAACATCATTAAATATTTGTTAAAATTGCGTATATATTATTACGAAACAGCGATTTTGTGCACGTTATGATGACAAATTTCCATATTGCATTGAAAAGCGTATTTCGAAAACATTTATCAAACGCTGACACTTGCTGGCATGGTGACCATGTTTAATTTAAATACATATGCATATTTTAAGCTGACAGTCGTTTCAAAACTACCGATGGATGTTATTTATTCATCACGGCATAAATGCTTTTCAAACAACTTTATTATTCTAAAATCATTACTTAATAGAAATTTGTACAACATTATTCCAAAATAGGTGGCAGGAGCCTACTTTGAAATACTTTACCACAAAATTCGTTTTCTAAGTCAGAGAGCGAGGGAACTCTCTGACTTAGTAAGAATACGCCGAATTCAACAGAGTATATATGCTCTCTCAAAATCCAAGATTTCTTAAAAATCTAAAAGATAGCCAAAGAACAAATTAGCGATACAATAAAACAAACACATAAACCTGAAAAGACTGAAGTCACTAAGCTACAAGTCAGTGAAACAAATAAAAATTTTTATACCTCATCTTGTTCTCCATCAGCATGCTTCCTGTCTCTCCGTCAGCATCCTCTTCGTCGCTCCATCAGCATCCTCTTCGTCGCTCCATCAGCATCCTCTTCGTTGCTACATCAGCATCCACCTCGTAACGCCATCAGCATCCTCCTCGTAGCACCATCAGCATCCTCCTCGTAGCACCATCAGCATCCTCCTCGTAGCACCATCAGCATCCTCCTCGTAGCGCCATCAGCATCCTCCTCGTAGCGCCATCAGCATCCTCCTCAGGACCATCAGCATCCTCCTCGCAGGACCATCAGCATCCTCCTGCAGGACCATCAGCATCCTCCTGCAGGACCATCAGCATCCTCCTGCAGGACCATCAGCATCCTCTGTAGCACCATCAGCATCCTCCTCGTAGCTCCGTCAGCATCTTCCTGTCCTCCGTCAGCATCCTCTTCTTTCATCAGCCTGTCCTCATCTAAACGAAAATCTAAAACAAGTTAAGATTAGGACAGGAAAATAATAACGTACTCCTCTATCTTCTTCTTGATCTTCATCTCTTGTACCCAAAAAGACTGAAGAAGAAGTTATTTGTTTGATGGAAACAAACAATTGTAAGCACCCACCACTGCCAGAGTTCGCGTTCTTTCACTGTCCGTACGCTCGACATGTCTATAAAATGCAACAACAATATCATGGCAAGTGATTATGGAGATCGTGCTTTGCATTGTAATAGTTTTATCATGCTAAAACATTTATATCCATGACTGTACATGATTGAACATGTATGTTAAGTGAACAACTCTTTGAAGATTATAAGACTCATGGAAAGCTTATCGTTTGAACCGTGCATTGTGTTATAACACCCTCAATGTTATAACACATGCAGTGTTCTGTAACATTGTCAAACGATTTATTACATGCGATATAATTCAAAATACCTAGATAAAACAAGATAATTAACGAATGTCTCATGCAATATATTCTCTGCTCAACTCTTTTCGATTTCATCCAAAAGGTTGTTTAATTATTTCGGTAAGGCACTAAGGTTTATAAAGATTTTGCAACACTCTGCCCGCATGTTGCAATATCAAATGATTACTTATATCAATTCAATATATATAATTGATTTAATTCCTTTTCTTCATGTATCCTTTTGTTTTATTGATTTCCTTTCTCTCTCTTCATCTGCATCCTTTCTGTCTTTTATCTGCATCCTCTTGTCTTTTCCATCTGCATCCTTCCTCGTCTTTCCATCTGCATCTTTCTCCATCTGCATTCTCCCTTTCCATCGCATCCTTGCTCTTTCCATCTGCATCTTCTTTGTCTTTTATCCATCCTTCTTTCTTCCATCTCGATTTTCTTTCCATCGATCCTTTCGACTTTCCATTTGACGCGCCGACGATCTGCGGACGACGACGAGTCGCTGACGCCGACGACGACCTCGATCTGCTGACGACGTGACGCGATGACGCCGGATCGGATTTGACGCGCGATCGACGCGTGACGCTCGACGGATTTTTGCGACGACGCCTGTCGCGACGACGTTCGCGACGCTGACGATTCCGCGACGCGGATTTATTCGCGACGCGACCATTCATGTCGCGCCGGATTTGCCGATTTGATATTTTCCGCTGACCCTTTCGATCTATCCTTTTGATCTGATCCTTCGTCTCATCTGCATCTCTTCTTCATCTGCATCTCTCGTTCTATCTGTATCTTGTTCTTCAGCATCCTCTTCATTTCATCAGCCTTCATCTTAAACGAAAATCTAAAAATGAAAATAATAACGTACTCCTTTATCTTCCTCTCTGATCTTTCATCTCTCTTTGTACCAAAAAGACTGAAGAAGGAGTTATTTGTTTAATGGAAACAAACAATTGTTTAGCACATACCACTGCCGGAGTTCGCGTTCTTTCACTGTCCGTACGCTCGACACTGTACATGACTGAACATGTATAAGTGAACAACTCTTTGAAGATTATAAGACTCGGGAAAGCTTATCGTTTCAACCGTGCATTGTGCTGTAACACCCTCAATGTTATAACACATGCAGTGTTCTGTAACATTGTCAAACGATTTATTACATGCGATATAATTCAAAAATACCTAGATAAAACAAGATAATTAACGAATGTCTCATGCAATATATTCTCTGCTCGATTTCATTGAAAAGGTTGTTTAATTATTACGGTAAGGTACGAAGGTTTATAAAACATCATCGCATTTGAAGATTGAGCAACATTTTGCCCCATGTTGCAATATCTTGTATACTCTATAATATATATTTGAGGTAATTCATTTGAACGTTTCTCAAGTGAATTACCCACTTTATCTCACCTACTATAACATCACTTGATGCTACAGTAGTTCCTCTCAGGAGCAGGGACGGATTAACCAAAGGAAGCTGTCTAGAAGCCTCCACAAACAAGGGCCTTCACATTATTCAAAGGAAGAATAAACATAGTTGCTTTAAAGACGAAGGAAAAGCATTTAGTTTATTTGTTGGATCAATTTCAGCTGATGAAGAACAGACCACGTATGACAACGAATCACAGTAAACTCAGCCATTTTGCTCTGATGAGCATTGAGGACAATATTCTAACAGAAATAAACTTGGAAGAGCTTATCAAAGACTGCCAGAATAAAATCGCAATAACTACTTTATCTCAAGTAGCAGCATTCACTGTCGTATGCAACCGCTTTACACGCTATATTCGAAGTTTATACTTTTATCAAATGCTTTACGAAATTTGAAAGTAAATTTTACTGTTGAAAATGAGCAGCACATTGCGTTTAGAGTAAGGAAAGGGATCTTTACTACGTATTTTTGCTGCTCAGAGCCTCCACACATCTTAATCCGGCCCTGCTCGGGAGACATAATATTATATCCTTTTGTCACAAAGACAAAGGATTGAATGCTATTTCTAACAATGGCCAGTTGTTAGAAATAGGCAAATGCAAAATCATCACACTTATGTGAATGATAACGATGAATGCAAAATGAAAATATTTTCTGGACATGTATTGAAGAGGTCCAATAATTGATGTCAAGAATAGTGGGAAACTTTTGGCAGTTCTGTTCGTGTTCTCACTTCAATATGTAACTGAAACTTGACGGCATTTTGTGCTCCAAGATCGAAACATAGAAATACTAAGAAATCGATCATTCCTTCGAACAAATAGGACTCATAACGATGCTTTGAATATGCTGTAACGAGAATTCACATCACAATTGGGTTATACATTTTAATTCATCGATCTCAAACTTACATCTTTATGTCATCGACGATTTTTCTGTATTTAACCTGCCGCTTTCAAACATGGCTAAAATATCTCAACCGTGTCATGTCTTCAGTTGCTCGTCCTTTCCAACAAGTAGTCGCATTTCTTGAAGGCTGTCTTCGACTTTCAACAGACTTTCACCTTTCCCAGACGAACAGCTCGGTCAAATAGGGTTATCGAAGTGAAAGACCCTACTTTTCTTCTGATAACTTTCATATATCACATGAATTAATTATTAATTCATTCGTCAATTTTGTTCAAACCATGATAAAAGGGATTAAATTCATTGATTGCATGAAAATATATGCAGGGCAAAGACAAAAGGAATTAAGCCTGTTATAAGTTAATTAACGACATTGGTTAGTAAAAGAAAGCAAAGCCTTTTCCCCTAGGTTTGAGAAAACAAAAGAATATTTCTTTTGTTTCAATGAAGAGTTTGCGAAATCAATGATTGTAAGGTTATGACGGCAGACAGAGCATGTCGTTGTGGTAAATTTTATCTAGTATGAACAAAAATTATCTCACCCAAAACCGCAATTCAATGCACCATAGCTTGAGAGTTATCATTTTCTCCCACCTGACCACACCTTTATTCAACTTGTTACAATCAACAAATAAATTAGAAGGCATAAAAAGCTTGTAATTTATTCACGTGGGAATCACCCCATGTTATAGAAAAGCTTTGTCGTGCTCAATACTTATTATGAACATTTGAGCCCTGCTTATTGCAATAATATGACTTGCCATTGTAAAATGTAATGTAATAATTTAACGAGAGAATTTTATTGACAGAACTAAATGGTAGCAAGTGATTCATTTTAGCAATCCTAATAGGATGGGACAAAGGGAAAAGAATGAGAGGTAAGTTCGTTTTCAAATAATTATCTTTAGCGATGTAACGATAGCAGGACTTTCAAATGCGGTAAATGTTTTGTGGAAAAGCGCGATTGTTTCTTTTCCGTGGTTGTAATCCTTAAAATTACATTATTAACAGTAAAACTGAACAAATTGAAAGTTATCTTTTCTCTTATATTCCTTTTGTCAACGAGTTCATTTCTTTATCAAACCATGATGAAAATTTATCCAATCACATTTACATTAAAGTTTTAAACTTCAAGATTTCCCACATTCATTTAGCTTAAATGCCGCACATGATAAACGAATGATATCTCTAATCAAAGATGATCACGCAGTCTCCGATTTTTAGGAATGAAAATGGGTTTTACGTTAATTGGTTTATGTTTGGCGTAAGGTGAAGCCGGTGATCAAACAATTAACACGTGATTACCCTTTAACCATAATCTCCACATGCTTTTATGAAACTCGAGCATCTAAGTCCCAGATTCGTAAACATCTCGCATTTATTTGGTAAATACAGTTCAGAATGTAACTAACATGTCTTTAATATATAATTACATGAATGTTATATTTGTTCTGGTCATGCTTACTGGTTATTATTATAAATATTTTTGATGTGATCAAAGCTCGCCAATCTGTAAATAATTTAGTTTAGAAATTATAATGACTTCATCAGAAAATTACCTAGTGATCATGAAAATACTTTTGCTGTTTCACAAATTTCAAGGTTTATCTGTATACATAAGAAGACATTTTTTACTCTATAAAAATCCTTTTCATATACCAATAAATTCTTTGGATTTTATGGCAAATTTGATTTATGGTATAGCTATAGATTAACACACCTTTACATCTCTAGATGAGGTGTTCAGTTTGAAAGGGGACAATATGTGAATATGGGACAACATTTCATGTATGTTGCCACTTGGTTTGCTACCATTCCAGTCAAATTGTCCCAATAAAAAAGCTTCATGGATCAGAAGACTCAAAATCACATTTATAGTAAACAGCTTCTCATGTAATCAATGTTAGTTTTCAAATCTTAAATAATATGTAGTATAACTGTCCAATGATTGAATGATCAATGATCATAAACTGAAAGCCCCAAACATTTGCTTTATGATAAAGTAAATAATAGTATGGCGCCTTATGGCTGCAGATTTTTATCCATTGTAAATATATTTGCAGGTAATGTAGGATTTTGCGCCATATACCACGATTCCCAAGCACTCAAAGAAATTATAGCTAAAATTCCTTCGGCAATAAATAATTTTAGAAGCATCAATCTGCTTTACCATGCCATATTGATATAAATGCATCAAGCATACTCACATAAATTGTTTTTGATATATTACATTTCTACACTTAATTTGTCCTTACTTACGATTTTGATGTAAATTTCGCTGATAAAACTCAAAACAATGTTGCTTGCTTTGAACATCAATGACAGAAATGTCGCTCGGAGATCGTTCCTTGCTACATTTACAATTCATCCATAAATTTTTAGATTTGAAAAAAATTCACAGTTTGGACAGCTTCATTCATGTCAATATATGAATTTGTAAAAGATTTCAATAAAATCCATCTGATTGTAGTTTAGTTTCTATCATGCTTATAAAAATTGGAAACGATCAAACATTCAATCTAGACAGTGAGTTTGACATGTTAATTCAGTTGGCTATCAGTCGAAATCCGTCAAACCAATCACAATAAAACAAAAAATTCAAAATGAACCAATTGTAAGATAGCAATAAGTATTTCTGGCTGCTAGTCTCCTTAAATTTGGTGCAAATTTGCTCATTATACTGAATCCACTCATTTTATTTTGCACCAAGTCAAATGGAAGGAAATGAGGCAAACAATGACCATTAAGTCGATACGTATAATTCCGATCGTATTGAAGTCACATTTTAACAGATGGAAAATAATGCTACAAGTTATGTTTCTTTGACACTTGAAAGAGTTTCTAAAGAATCCTTTACGTGAGAACTGTTCTCTTACATGACGCCGATATTGCTTTTGCTCAAAGTCTTGGTAGTGTTTATGCTGGATGAACTGAAATAGGGATAGCTGGTCATTTATCGTCACAAAAACGTGGCCATCAATAATTAGAGAAACATCATCACGCAGCAGACATATCGAACTGGGGTGAGCCTGTCACCGCTCAAAGAGCAGTTCCTCTTGTTCAGTAAAACAATATCAATGTGCTTGGACGACAGTGAAGAATCAAATGAAGAAGAATGTTTTGTGATAAGTTTGAAGGGTGGAAGTGTATGCAGTTGTAGTATCTTTTCGTTACATCCATGTAAGATTAGATTTCTTATTTAATTGAACGTACAGCGATGTGTTCAGTAATTTTGCCATTCACATTGTGCATTAAACTTGAGAAAATATTCTGAGAATACTCCATGGAAAAAATTGTAGAAATGATATCACTGTTATTGCAACTAATGTTAGAACGATATGAAGAACTGACAGAATATGTTCTTAAATGTTGTAGGTAATAATCCTGCTCCAATTGAAATTAAAACAACACCATTGAAGTTAGAAAAAGTTCAAGACATTCCTGTTGCCAGATTGCTAGTAACAGGCCACATTATCTTTATCGTGGCTTACGGTCAATGTTGTCAGCTCATGGAGCAAAGAAGGAGTTATTTACTGTATTTATTGATGGATTCTTTGTAAGAACCAGCTGTGGCAAGGCTATATGATGTAAAAAGTCGTGACAGCATATTCCTATTAGCAGTAAGAACGCAGAATATCACAGGTTGGTAAGGCTTTTCTTTGAGAGTGTTTACACGATGTAATCAAAATTTTTCGTTCCCTTTATTACTTTTAAATGTATTTTCTTCCTCCCAGCATTACAAGCTTAACATTGATAGAGACGCTTTAATGCTTATCCTAATGCTCGTATGATGATTATTTTGGAAGAAGATTTAGACGTATTCAGGACATATTTAGTTATTTTAATCTAATTTTGGTTTTAATGGATACAGATGAAAGTCTGTACTGTATATCGCGTGGAATGATCAGGGTTTGTTATAAAACAAAAGCTAAATAAATATTCTTTTCATGTTTTTAGTCTTTTACTTATTGTTGGCTTGTGTTTGCTACACAACAAAAATTTTAATTCGCTTTTCAACTTTATTAACGTGGTTTTGAACGTCTTCTGTTTTTTTTGCTTTTTGTCGAGTCCAGTTTATTCTGACGAGTGCAGAATGTAAATTAAATAAATCTCTAAATATTTTCACATTATAATGGAAAATGGAAATCTCCTGACAAGAATCTGTTATCTTATTGTAGTTTTCTACTGGTTACATTATGTTTGTCTTTATCGAGCTTCCTTCCTTGCACATCACAAAGTGAAATTTAGAAATTTACCTTAGAAATGGTACATCCATTGAAAAACTAATTTATGTAGATTAATGATTTAATTGCAAAACAAGTATTTCTCATTTTTAGGGTTATGATCACATGCGGTAATGATCCTGCAAATGTTATATCGTAGAAACAATGCCTGGTTTAGGGCTGGTGAGAATTTTATTACTACAAATGATTTTGTTTACGCTTATGACATCACGCAACAGTGACGCTAAATGACATCACACTACAAGCACACACGCTGCAATGACATCACGCTTACAAATGACCTCACGCTGCAATTACACATCACGCTGCAAATGACATCACGCAGCACTATAAATGTATAGATAGTATAAATCCCATTCTATCTATTATTTCTCTTTACATTTAATAGGTTGCTCAAACGACGACTTTATAAAGAAGAACTTGAGCTAAAATGGCCAACCCCTGATCTCTTTGGGATTGGGATATGTGGATGAGGATGGACAGCAACAAAAGGGACGTGAATGTATCATTCCGGATATTCAAGAACCTACTTCATTTTGCCGCCAAAGGCCTGAATATGAATGTGTATTTTTCAAGAATCCTATTTCAAAAAACATACGTTGAAGACTGAACCTAACGTTAAGTTTAATGTTGGATTGTTGAAAAGAAAATTATGAGAAGGAGATTGAACGGCTTTGGAGGGTATGTCTTGAAGGATTTTAAAATATTGACAACAATATTTTTCTTTTCACAGGACAATGAAGGAGGATTTCTTTACTTAGTGATTCAGTGATCTAATTATCATCATAGTGCGTGTATATTTATGTCATTTAATTGTTAGAGATGTCTATCTACTGTTTTGGCAGGTTGGCAGAGCCGTTGGATCACAGTAAAAATCCTTGAAAGAACGAGAAAGACTGTTCCAGAAACATCTGATAAAACATGTATATTTTATATTGAAATGAAACATGGTAACGACTGACAACATGGAATAATATAGCGAGATGTTTACGAATCTGGGACTTAGATGCTCGAGGATTTCTATAAAAGCATGTGGAGATTATGGTTAAAGGGTAATCACGTGTTAATTGTTTGATCACCGGCTTCACCTTACGCCAAACATAAACCAATTAACAAACCTATTTTCATTCCTAAAAATCGGAGACTGCGTGATCATCTTGATTAGAGATATCATTCGTTTATCATGCGGCATTTAAGCTAAATGAATGTGGGAAATCTTGAATAAAAACTTTAATGTAAATGTGATTGATAAATTTTCATCATGGTTTGATCAAGGAAATGAACTCGTTGAACAAGGAATATAAGAGAAAAAGATAACTTTCAATTTGTTCAGTTTTACTGTTAATAATGTAATTTTAAGGATTACAACCACGGAAAAGAAACAACTGCGCTTTTCCCACAAAACATTTACCGCATTTGAAAGTCCTGCTATCGTTACATCGCTAAAGATAATTATTTGAAAACGAACTTACTCTCTCATTCTTTCCCTTTGTCCCATCCTATTAGGATTGCTAAAAATGAATCACTTGCTACCATTTAGTTCTGTCAATAAAATTTCCTCGTTAAATTATTACATTACATTTTACAATGGCAAGTCATATTATTGCACAAGGTATCCAATGTTCATAATAAGTATTGAGCACGACAAAAGCTTTTCTATAACATGTGGGTGATTCTACGTGAATAAATTACAAGCTTTTGATATGCCTTCTAATTTATTTGTTGACGTAACAAGTTGAATAAAGGTGGTCAGGTGAGAAAAAAATGATAACTCTCCAAGCTATGGTGCATTGAATTGCGGTTTTGGGTGAGATAATTTTTGTTCATACTAGATAAAATTTACCACAACACGACATGCCCTGTCTGCCGTCATAACCTTACAATCATTGATTTCGCAAACTTCATTGAGGAAACAAAAGAAATATTCTTTTGTTTTCTCCAAACCTCTGGGGAAAAGCCTTTTGCTTTCTTTTACTAACCAATGTCGTTAGTTAACTTATAACCAGGCTTAATTCCTTTGTCTTTGCCCCCTGCATATATATTTTCATGCAATCAATGAATTTAATCCCTTTTATCATGGTTTGAACAAATTGATGAATGAATTAATAATTAATTCATGTGATATATGAAAGTTATCAGAAGAAAAGTAGGGTCTTTCACTTCGATAACCCTATTTGACCGAGCTGTTCGTCTGGGAAAGGTGAAAGTCTGTTGAAAGTCGAAGACAGCCTTCAAGAAATGCGACTACTTGTTGGAAAGGACGAGCAACTGAAGACATGACACGGTTGAGATATTTTAGCCATGTTTGAAAGCGGCAGGTTAAATACAGAAAAATCGTCGATGACATAAAGATGTAAGTTTGAGATCGATGAATTAAAATGTATAACCCAATTGTGATGTGAATTCTCGTTACAGCATATTCAAAGCATCGTTATGAGTCCTATTTGTTCGAAGGAATGATCGATTTCTTAGTATTTCTATGTTTCGATCTTGGAGCACAAAAATGCCGTCAAGTTTCAGTTACATATTGAAGTGAGAACACGAACGAAACTGCCAAAAGTTTCCCACTATTCTTGACATCAATTATTGGACCTCTCTCAATACATGTCCAGAAAATATTTTCATTTTGCATTCATCGTTATCATTCACATAAGTGTGATGATTTTAGATTTGCCTATTTCTAACAACTGGCCATTGTTAGAAATAGTAGTTCAATCCTTTTGTCTTTGTGACAAAAGGATATAATATTTTATGTCTCTCCGAGCAGGGCCGGATTAAGATGTGGAGGCTCTGAGCAGCAAAATACGTAGTAAAGATCCCTTTCCCTTACTCTAAACGCAATGTGCTGCTCATTTTTCAACAGTAAAATTTACTTTCAAATTTCGTAAAGCATTTGATAAAAGTATAAACTTCGAATATATGCGTAAAGCGGTTGCATACGACGAGTGAATGCTGCTACTTGAGATAAAGTAGTTATTATGATTTTATTCTGGCAGTCTTTGATAAGCTCTTCCAAGTTTATTTCTGTTAGAATATTGTCCTCAATGCTCACTCAGAGCAAAATGGCTGAGTTTACTGTGATTCGTTGTCATACGGTCTGTTCTTTCATCACCTGAAATTGATCCAACAAATAAACTAAATGCTTTTCCTTCGTCTTTAAAGCAACTATGTTTATTCTTCCTTGAATAATGTGAAGGCCCTTGTTTGTGGAGGCTTCTAGACAGCTTCCTTTGGTTAATCCGTCCCTGCTCCTGAGAGGAACTACTGTAGCATCAAGTGATGTTATAGTAGGTGATAGGTAGTGGGTAATTCACTTGAGAAACGTTCAAAATGAATTACCTCAAATATATATTATATGAGTATACAAGATATTGCAACATGGGGCAAAATGTTGCTCAATCTTCAAATGCGATGATGTTTTATAAACCTTCGTACCTTACCGTAATAATTAAACAACCTTTTCAATGAAATCGAGCAGAGAATATATTGCATGAGACATTCGTTAATTATCTTGTTTTTATCTAGGTATTTTGAATTATATCGCATGTAATAAATCGTTTGACAATGTTAGAACACTGCATGTGTTATAACATTGAGGGTGTTACAGCACAATGCACGGTTGAAACGATAAGCTTCCGCGAGTCTTATAATCTTCAAAGAGTTGTTCACTTAACATACATGTTCAGTCATGTACAGTGTCGAGCGTACGGACAGTGAAAGAACGCGAACTCCGGCAGTGGTATGTAAACAATTGTTTGTTTCCATTAAACAAATAACTCCTTCTTCCAGTCTTTTTAGGTACAAGAGATGAAGATCAGGAAGAAGATAGAGGAGTACGTTATTATTTTTCCTGTCCTTATCTTAACTTGTTTTTAGATTTTTCTGTTTAGATGAGGAGGAGGCTGATGAAAAGTAGAGGAGGATGCTGGATGGAGAGACAAGAAGGATGCAGATGAAGAGGATGCAGATGGAAGAGAAAAGGAGGATGGAATGAAGAGATGAGGATGGAGAGAAAGAGAAAGGAGGATGGAGGATGGATGGAGAAGGGATGGATGGGGAGGATGGAAGAGAAGGATGGATGAAGAGGAAGGATGGAAGGAGGGATGGATGAAGGATGGAAGGATGGAAGGGATGGATAGGATGGAAGGGAAGAGACAGGAGGATGCAGATGGAGACGGAGGAGGATGCAGATGAAGAGACGAGAAGGATGCAGATGAAGAGACGAGAAGGATGCAGATGAAGAGACGAGGAGGATGCAGATGAAGAGACAAGGAGGATGCAGATGGAAAGAGATGAGGAGGATGGTGATGAAGAGATGAGGAGGGATGTAGATGAAGAGATGAGGAGGATGAAGAGGAATGAGGAGGATGGATGGAAGAGATGGAAAGATGGAAGATGGAAAGGGATGGAAAGATGGAGAAAGGATGGAAAGGAAAGGGGAAGGATGGATGGATGGAAGAAGGATGGAATGGAAAGATGGAGAAGGGATGGAAAGATGAATGGAAGGATGAAGGATGGAAGGGATGGATGGAAGATGATGGAGAGACGAGAAGGATGCACATGGAAGAGACGAGAAGGATGCAGATGGAAAGACGAGAAAGGATGCAGATGGAAAGAAGAGGAGGGATGCAGATGGAAAGAAGTGGAGGAGGACAGATGGAAAAGACGAGGAGGATGCAGGATGGAAAGACGAGGGAGGATGCAGATAAAAAGACAAGGAAGATGCAGATGGAAAGACGAGAAGGGATGCACATGAAGAGACGAGAAGGATGCATATAAAGAAACGAGAAGGATGCACATGAAGAGACGAGGAATGAATACTATTCAATTATATTACAGAATTGTATATTCTGTAATATATAATTGAGGTAATTAAGTTAATTCATTTGATATTGCAATGCGGGCAGAGTGTTGCAAAATCTTTTATAAACCTTTTAGTGCCTTACCGAAATAATTAAACAACCTTTTGGATGAAATCGAAAAGAGTTGAGCAGAGAATATACATGCGAGCATATCTGTTAATTATCTTGTTTTTATCTAGGTATTTTGAATTATATCGCATGTAATAAATCGTTTGATTAATGTTACAGAATTGCATGTGTTATAACATTGAGGGGTGTTATAACACAATGCACGGTTCAAACGATAAGCTTTCCGCGAGTCTTATAATCTTCAAAGAGTTGTTCACTTAACATACATGTTCAATCATGTACAGTCATGGATATAAATGTTTTAGCATGATAAAACTATTACAATGCGAAAGCACGATCTCCATAATCACTTGCCATGATATTGTTGTTGCATTTTTTATAGACATGTCGAGCGTACGGACAGTGAAAGAACGCGAACTCTGCAGTGGTGGTGCTTACAATTGTTTGTTCCATCAACAAATAACTTCTTCTTCAGTCTTTTTAGGTACAAGAGATGAAGATCAAGAAGAAGATAGAGGAGTACGTTATTATTTTTTCCTGTCCTAATCTTAACTTTGTTTTAGATTTTTCGTTTAGATGAGGACGAGGCTGATGAAAAGAAGAGGATGCTGACGGAGAGACGAGGAAGATGCTGACGGAGCTACGAGGAGGATGCTGATGGTGCCGAAGAGGATGCTGATGGTCCCATGAGGATGCTGATGGTCCTGCGAGGAGGATGCTGATGGTCCCAGGAGGAGGATGCTGATGGTCCCAATGAGGAGGATGCTGATGGTCCTACGAGGAGGATGCTGATGGCGCTACGAGGAGGATGCTGATGGCGCTACGAGGAGGATGCTGATGGTGCTGAGGAGGATGCTGATGGTGCTACGAGGAGGATGCTGATGGTGCTACGCGAGGAGGATGCTGATGGCGTTACGAGGTGGATGCTGATGTAGCAACGAAGAGGATGCTGATGGAGCGACGAAGAGGATGCTGATGGAGCGACGAAGAGGATGCTGACGGAGAGACGGGAAGCATGCTGATGGAGAACAAGATGAGGTATAAAAATTTTTATTTGTTTCACTGACTTGTAGCTTAGTGACTTCAGTCTTTTTCAGGTTTATGTGTTTGCTTTTGTATTGTATCGCTAATTTGTTCTTTGGCTATCTTTTAGATTTTAAGAAATCGGATTTTGAGAGCATATATACCTTAGTTGAATTCGGCGTATTTTACTAAGTCAGAGAGTTCCCGCTCTCTGACTTAGAAAACGAATTTTGTGGTAAAGCATTTCAAAGTAGGCTCCTGCCACCTATTTTGGAATAATGTTGTACAAATTTCTATTAAGTAATGATTTTAGAATAATAAAGTTGTTTGAAAAGCATTTATGCGTGATGAATAAATAACATCCATCGGTAGTTTTGAAACGACTGTCAGCTTAAAATATGCATATGTATTTAAATTAAACATGGTCACCATGCCAGCAAGTGTCAGCGTTTGATAAATGTTTTTCGAAATACGCTTTCAATGCAATATGGAAATTTGTCATCATAACGTGCACAAAATCGCTGTTCTGTAATAATATATACGCAATTTTAACAAATATTTAATGATGTTTGGGGCTGTTTTCATTCAACCGTAGCTATAGTGTGTTTTCTTTTGACGTCAAGCATAAGCCATGTTGGGAGAGTACATGAGAGTGTCGAAGCTCAGCAAAGCATAAAATTAGCAGAAATTCTTTCTGTATGGAATTTTGCCCCAACATGGTAACTGATGAAACAATTTAGAGGAAGAAATCATTAAGTGTAAAATGATTTTTTCATCAGCTGGCAATCCATTTGGGACTTTTCACAGTATTTTTAATTCACGAAAATTTACAGCATAAACGTACAAAATGACATACCTCAAACAAGCATAAAACATGTGAAAATTGATCATCAAATTTACTGCATTTCCCCTGTATAGTAGCGGCATCTTCTTTCGTGTTTAGAGATTATTTTACACCTCAATGTTTTCTACTCTCATGTCCTTAGGACCTATAAAAAAAATTTACATCTGTAATGTAATGTATGATAAACTTAAGAATAAATTTAAGAGAAAGGAACTTCTCAAACGACTTCAAGTAATATGTAAGTTTTAGCAAGTAAAAATGTTCGTACAATAAATTATAAAAAACAATCTCCAAACATTGTTTAAGATTTTTAGACATTGCTGGCTTGAAGACCACTGTTTTTTGCAAAAAATTCGGCAATTTCGAAGTGATGTATTTCGCCTCCGTACCTTCAATGGCGGCGCTCGTGCAGGCTTCAAAGATGGCGTCCAAGTTAGCCTTCCAGTTATTGTTGTAGAGTCTAATGGGTTTAAATAAGGTCGAGATCATTGAGCTCTATGGAAGTTAGAATTTCGAAAAAATTGACTGTGCCTTTGCAAATATGTGATTCAACTGCAATGATGCACATCGTGCACCAAAAATGTAAAGTCACTTACTTAATTGAAGAGCTTGTAGGTAGGAGATACAAATAACTAATGGTCGCTTTATGCAAAAACCGGATACAATATCTTTATGATTCGTAAATACCTGCTTAAAAGGGCAGTGTACATCTTTAACTTCAATTCCATTCCTGGATCTTGAATTAAAGATCCTACTTTGTCTATTGGCTTTAAACTGGTTCGGAGATTGCAGGGAACTTTCGGATACCATCTTCGTAAAATGTTCAGGTTTAGAATAAGGTCGAGATAGATAGTTCACTATGGACTCACGACGAAAATTGCATGTAATTTACAAACCTGGCGTCACGTTCATTTGCTATAATAAAATTTACAATAAATATTTTTATTATTGATTGAACTATGGACGAATAAGAAAAATCATATCTAGAAATGACATGAATGAAAGGCAAAAGTAAATAAAAAATGTGACTATTTTTGACCAATGACATTAGGATGTTGATAGTGGTTACAATGGATGATAGTGGATAATTATAGACATGCTTTCAAATGGCGTATGCTGAACAATTTTATTTTCAGTCAACTTGAGCACACTTAATCATTTTATGGCAAGAATAGGTAAATGTTGGCTGAACTGTATAAAATAAGGCGTTCAAGGATGCAATTCGGAAGCGTAAAAAAAGACTTGAGGCATATGCAAGAGAACTATCTTCACGTAGCAGACTGACATTTGTGGTGAATTCACTGAATTGCTCTGGAAGCTAACAGTTATTGGTTGTTATTCTGGCTATGTGAAACCAATCTATCTGCATGAGTTCTATCATGATTTTAAACAGCAAATCGATGCGTTGCGTATGAGTTGTATCGACCAGCTTACTACACAGTCAACACTTCACCAATTTGAATTTGAAACATTTTGGTGATAAGAATTTTATACCGACGTATCCCTGCGATAAAAGACTCACAAGAAAACTGTTTTGTTCAGAGTAAGGTAAAAATATTTTACCTCTGATTGCCTAAATATTCTTTGAGTATTTAAACTGGCTCATATAAGACCATACATGTATGTAGTTAATGGGATCTACATTTTAGCTAGCGTGTGCAATATTTTTATAAGTAAAACGATGCACGGTAGTGAGGTAACTTAGTGATTAAAACAAAAGCCGAGGAGATTTTGTAGTAAAAGTCACAAGACTTGTAGCAACCGAGGACTTTAGCTAACCTGCCAGGGCTTTCAAGTGCATTTGATTGCCAAATGTTTTAGTCAGTGCTTCACACACTGTTTATAAATTTGGATCTGCAGCTATTATTACCTAAGTGAAGATCTATTGATTGTCATGCTTTATTTTATCTCCATGTTTTTTTATATTCACCATCATAAGTTGAACATTTGAGTTACCTTGCATGAGTCGTTTTTACTTAAAATATGTTCTTTAACAATGGTTCATCATTGTTTTGTTTCAATTGATTTTATTTAGTATTTGTTAATATTGCAACTAAAATATTAACTCGTTTCAGTCTCCGCTTGCTGAAATCAAGATGGCTTCTAACCTTGAACATTTCAAACATTACAACTCAATGGTTGAAACCAATGAACTATTTAATCAAGTTACATTTGTTTCATCGTGTAATTCCTCTTTATGGATATCAAAGATATAGACAGTTATTCAAGAATGAAATAAAATATAGAATGTTTTCATTTGTTGATTTGACATACAGATTGTTTGTTTACTCCCAAAAGGGAGGAAATTGTTCACAGCGAACATAAATGCAGCTTTACAAGTTTTTAGCTGTCTTGTCAATAAATAATGAAAATTTTAATGATTGATAATATTTTTAATTGTTTAACTAAATGAGTTTGTTTTTATGCTTCATTAGAAACTGATGGAAGCTTTGAATATTTTGGTCAAAAACTACAGATAAATCCTGGGATGGGGATGAAGCTTTCTATGTTTACAGATGTATACCATTGTGAATTTATAATTTCATTGCTACAATTTATAGACAATAAAAATTTTGATGCTATGAGATGGTCTCATCAATGCAACAATTGAACTGATTTCCAACTTCCTGAGAGATTCAACCTCACGCTAGGTAAGTTTTGCCAGTAAGCTTTCGCTGAATAACCTCACTACGGTCTTGATACTTAATTTATTCAACCAACAGTGACATGATTATTTGTTTCTATAGAAACCTATTGTTTAATGGTGAAGGATAAATCATGCAATGTATTTGAGTTCAATGATGCAAATGATGCAGTCAAAAAGGTGTTTAAGATAGCATTGCTAATGTTCTTTTACTAAATTGTCATTGTTAAACGAAAGTAATAATTTAATATACTCACTTTGGGACAAGCAGGACAGATATTTCCTTCATCAAGCCTGCAGGAATAACACAGCTCAACATGTTTAGTTTATGTCTGTAAATTCTGAAAAACAATGACACAAAGAAAGCAATTATGCACTCTAAACAAATGACATAAACAAAATACAGTGCAATACAGTAATACTTGAGGAAAATCCTTTCATCATAAACTTTAGCATTTTGATTTCTCCAATTAAATACATCTCTTAAGATGAGATTCTTAGGCTATAAAATTGACTGCAACTTTCCAGCAACCATACGTAGTACAGCAGTGCAATAAATCAGTGAATTACATGCAATTACCTGTATTCTCTCAAAAGCATCTATAATGACAGGATACATTTGGAGTTGCATAAGAAGAAAATATGTGGTTGTGATTAAACTCTTCAAATGACTGACAAATGCTTTTATTGATGCCTGGCATCTTCCATTCTGCACAGAATGAACCAATTCAAAACCATTACCGTAATCTGGTTTTGTAGGTGTTCAAATTGCAGAAGTTGGAACCGAAGATATGAAAAACTGTACCTCAACAGTGCCTAAAAATTGAAAAAGATCCAAAATTATAATTGTGTTGAACCATCCCAGCTAAAATGAAGAAACTTTGCAGCACATTTTACATATAACATACCTTAACATCAACAACAGAAACACTTTGTGACGAGCTGTTCTGTGCATGAACAATCATACACCAAGTTCATGAGTTTATATGGCCAAAACATGCCATCCTACAAAGCAAATGAATAACCTCGTAGAAATTCATTGTAATCAATCCCCTGCATTCATAAAAAATATTAGATTAGTGCTTCAGCATAAGTTTCACAATGTAAACTCTCATTTTATTTTTGCATTTTTATTGCAAGTGTTGAGAGT